ATTTTGATGGGAAATTCCTATGACATGTATATTTTTATCTCAAATAGAAGGAGTTCATGTGTAGTAGTTGGTACAGTGGTTTAAGTCCCTGTTCATCCACTGTCATTTTATTTAAAAATGCCTTGTTGTAAACAGAAACAGCACTCATCCAGCCTCATGATTATCCTACATTCAGGAACATCTCTGGATTAAAATGTGTATGTAGCAGATAATCTAAGCACACCAAGAGCTGTGTCTCCTGCTGTCTTTTTGGCATTCAGGGAGAACAACAAGAAGCAGAACTCCATGTGTGGCTGACTGAGCTTGGACTTCCTTCTGCTGGTTTGGTACCTCCTTAGCCAAACAAAATATACTTTGGCTATATATATTTAGATATAGTATATATGTGAGAATTTGGTTGGTTTTAACTGCAACTGATAGTGTATAAGACAGAGAAGAAGAGAGAATATTTATTTAGAAAGAATAGAAACGGAATTAAAAAATGGAAGAAAAAAACAGCTGACCTATATTTCAGGGACTGAAGCACGTCTGTAATGCAGATGAAAAGCCCATTCCAACTTCACTTTAAATTGTTCACCATCCAAATCTATTTGTCATGAAGCAGTTACCTGCTCATAGCTGAAAAAGTGCTTTGATATATTTTTTATGAATCTAGCTTCTCCAGTGCTAAGATAACTGATCACAACACAGCCTTCCATTAATTATTATACCTCTGTCTCCAGAATGATGTCCTATAAAAAAAGGAAAGCTGAAAAAAGATGTGTTTATTTAAAAAAAAAAAATCAGATAACAAAAGGCTAAAGGAATTGTTTTTTTTCTTTTCTTTCATAATGCTGCAAGGGACAATCAAACAATTAAGAAAAAGTTTAAAAATGTCTTTCATAAAAACCATTTTTTCTTGGTTTAAATAAGCTATTCAGTATAGGAAGAAAGAATTAATAATGAAAAAGAATAATTGCCATTCAGAAAACTGTTGGAGCTCTATTTTTCCCACCCTGGAAAACCGTAAACAGTCAATAATAATTCAAGCCAGGTAGTATAATTTTTTAAGCTGAAATTTTTATCTATTTTCATTTTTGTTTGTAAGAAATAAAATTCTTAAAGAAGCCATATTCTATATGAAAAAAAAGATAATACTTTCAAAAATAAGTTTTACCAGATATTTTAACTATACCATTCATATATTCATCTGTTCACGTGCCATCCAAATTGTAAGGATGCAGGAGTTTTTATTTCATTTTTCTTTTTGGTACCTACAAAATGCTCATTCTTGCAGTCTGTGTTTGAATCACGGTTGTATCTCACAACAATATAAATAAACTCTATCCACAGTCCTTTCTTATAACATTCCACCTTCTTGCTGCATTTTACCTAAATCAAAATCTGGGACCTTATTGTTGGCATCATAGAAAAAAAACAAAACAAAACAAAACAAAACTAATAGTGAACTTAATATAAGAAATATAGTTATTATCTGGTTTATTGTCTGATGTCTGTTTATTTTTTACATATCTTTTTTGCACCTTATCTTAATGCTTTACTGGAATGGCAGCTAGACTATGGTCTTTTAATCAATATCAGTACTTAGAGCTGTAGGATGTGAAATCCAAATATGTATGGCTTAGCAGCTCCCAATTAACTTTAAAAGGAGCATTATATTAGTATTACAAATTAATTAGGTGGAAGAAAATTTAATGTACTCAAGAATTGTAAATAGTGTAGCATTTTTAATAATGTGAATAATTTTTAAAGAGAAGAGATCAAACAGTGGGTTTGCTAGTGCTCCTGATGAAGACTTTCCCGCTTTATTTTATATACGCAGATGCTATTTCAGTGGAACATCTTCATTTCTGTTCTTCTCTGTCCACTTGTAAACAGCATGTTCCTCTCAGATCTCAGGGCTTCTCTTTCCTTAATGTGACCACAATATGTACAGCGTTGCCTGGACTGGAGAGACTAGCCACATAGTAGTCCCTTTTGAAATCCTTTAGGTAGCATGAAAAGATTCCAGGGTTTCTGCTTAGCATTATAGCTATTAATAAAACAAAAATATCTTAACTGGGTCCAACATGCATACATACCAACTCTTGATCCCTAGGAGGTTGTTTCTTTCCAGGTTAATGCCTGTGCCCTCTAGTATTTACTGAGTAAAATAAAGATGTTTTTCTATTTAATTCCTCTCTCAGCTCTATTTCCATTACTTCCTAAGATGAAATCCCTGTTTAAATGTATTAATTGTGGACCAGAACTAAATGGTATAGCTCTTCCACTGTTAGCTTGTCTTCTTGATCCATACAACATGAGGTGGGAAACGTGGCTTTTAATTTATGCATCTTCCTTCTACCTCCAGCTCTGGAAATATTCATTGTCCTAGCAGCTCAGGAGATCAGTGAATACACGTGGTAAATGGAAAGACAGTGCCTCTCAAAATGCTGGTTGTGTTTGAGCATTAAAGGAGTGCCATAAGAAAAGTAGGTGTTAAATCTCCCATCTATTTTCCATTCAAACAGGGGCTGATAATACCCCTGCTTATCACACCCCAGTTGAGTGTATTGTTAAGCTTTTCTAAATTATCTCTACTATCCTGCTCTTTGCACATATGCAGAGAGAGAATATTACAAAGGAAAGCCATATCTCTGTCCTGTTTCATCTCTACATTTCTTGGGGCAAAGGCAAACCCTACAAGTAAAAAGCATCTTCCAAATAAAATTACCTAGAAAATAATTTAGATTCATGTGCTTTGTCAATGTTCAACAGAATATATTTCACTACCACCAACAGAAGACATTAGCATATATTAAGAATGAAAACAAGACAGTGATTCTGGTGAAGTGTTTAAAGTCAGTAGTTTGAGAAAACAAAACAAATTAAAATAGCACAATGGGTTTGTATGTTCAGTGTTGTCTTTGCAAAGTAAAAGGGTTATAAACATAACCTTGCTCCAGCTTTTAAACATTGAAACTTTACTGATCATAGTAGCATGAATTGGGGTACACCTGGAGCAGATCAGCAGAGAATTAGATGTAGGTATCTTACACTTTACTTCCTGAAAGCTATGACATATTCAGAGGCCACTGGGTTTTTTAGTTTGTAACTCTGAACTCCTAATTCATTTCCTGAGCAAATAATACAGGATTTATCTAGATTCCAGCTTCATTTTTATCCAAGTATGCAAATGTCTCTCTGCATTAACTGTTTTAAAGCTACTGTATTAAAACTCAGCTTGGTCTAAGTGAAGAGAAAAATAGGACCATGGCATATTGGCTTTAAATTACCAGCTGTGGAGCCAAGAGTGCAAGCTAAATTTATGCAAGTCATATGTTAATTATGTATCCATGAATGTAATGCAAATGGGCACCCACCTGCATGGCAGTACATCATTAATACTTTAGAGTATTAATAGAATCTATATGAAGGAAATTCTATACTTGATTCTACATATTTTTGTATGTTGTTTTTAAGTTAAAAGATAAAAAATTTACTACACATACCATTGTCATGCCATAATAGATTACTTAAACTGTTAATAGCCTATTTCATTCTATATAGTCCCTCTTTGGCACTGAGTTACTTATTAGTAACCCCTAGAAAGAGATGTATTGACTGAAATGTATGCTGGTTGGAGTGCTCTGGCTTTCTCAGCAGGGCAACGTATCATACATTTACGTAAGAGTCTGGGTCCTCCTAATATCAATGGGATTAGTTATCTGTTTAAAGCAAGTCATGTGCCTAAGTAATTTGCTGAACTGAGGTCTAAAGGAAGCAGGAGAGTCATGGAAATTACTATATGTGATTGTGTCATTAAAGATAGCCTGCCACTGACTGTGCAGCAGTGGGCTGAGTTAAGGCCATGCAGAGTCCTTCGTATCTGAATGCTTTAGTGTTTATTTTCTGTAGGTAGAAACCAGGTTTTCACATGCTTTTATGAAGAGTCATATGATGCGAGATATAAAGGGTGCAAATTAGAATGTCCTGAGAATTCCAGCTACATACAATAGAATTCCATACTATAATCCCAATACTATCTCAATAATCATTGAGAGCCTAGTCCTGACAGTCTCTGACAGCCAGCGTTTGCAGGATTGAGTCTTTGTACAAGGCCAGCCATATGCTCATGATGATTAATGATACTTCAAAGATGCATTAAATACACTTGTCTTGTCTTCACACCTCAGTGCACAGCCAAAGCATAACATCAGTCACCAAAACCACTCAGGCTGTTACGCATTGTTGTTTAATTAAACAACACAGATAATTTCCAAGACTATTTCAAGTGTAAACGTGGCCTAGTAGCTAAGCTCTATTTAACTTTAAGAAGGAAGTACGAATGTTGAGAGGAGAAATAAATTTAAGTGTGAGGAAAACAACTTATGCAAATAGTAGTTAACCCTTTTTTTTTTGATTTCTCTTTCCAAATTCAGCTTGACAAAACCATGTCCACCAAGTACAGGTTTTTTCCTCTTTGTCCCCCAGATATGATGAGTGTGAGTACACTGATTACAGAATTTATTTTTAAAAATCCATTTGCACCCTCTCCAGAGATATGCAGAGGTCTAATTAATTTCTCTGACATACTGAGCCTGAAGCCATCATCAGCTACAGGGAGACTATCCCAGTAATTTAGACAATCTTTAGTTTGAGACTATATGCTGGAAAAACTCTGTGGACGTGTGATTGTGGCAAGTAAAAACTACTCTGCTGCATAACACCAGCACAACACCTCTGAAGATTTGTAGCTTAAACATCAGCTATGGTCTGTGCTATCCTTTTAAAGAGAGGCAAATTTGCTCCTTTAGTATTTTGAGGTGGTGTAATAGAAACAACTAGACCACTCCCTTTTGTAATACTGATTTCAGAAAGTGTCTTTTTGACTTGAAAGAAAGAAAAGTTAGGTCGGACTGGAGACCTTTTGAAAGGCTTACTCCAAACTAGCAAAGCTGTTTCATTTTCCATTCTCTGAGCCACTCCTATGCTTAGTCCTACTGCACTGTGTTTTTCAGAGGATGCCTATAAAACTCAAGTCCGAATTGATGATGAACCAGCCTATTTGGACATTCTAGACACTGCTGGACAGGTAAGTAGTTTCTCAATGTGAACCATTCAATAGAGATAAAACCAAAGATTTTAAGCTCAGATATATGGGTCACAGAGCTAGAAACAAGCTTTCTTGTTCAAACATAAAGGGAGGAGGGGCAGAAAAACATTGAGGAATTAACAAAGAAAAAGATTAAAGGAGAGCTTCAGGGGCATAATAGAACTTCAAAATCTGACTAAAAGAGACAAACAAATTTAATCAAGTAGAAGGTAAAAAGCGATTTGCTTCTTTTTCTCTTGTATGCAGAAACTACCACGATCATGGAATGAGTAAATGCTATTGTTGGTTTGTCTTACGTGTTTATGATTCCTGCTTTTCTATATATAGCAGGAATCTTCTTGTCTACTTGTAGATCAAGTATTTTGTTATCATTCTTCTCCCTACATTATACTTAAACATCAAATGCTGCCCCATAAGGAAAAGATCTTAATGCCAAAAGTAACACACAGTGTACACATAATGTGTATATGCATGTGTGAGCATCAGTCAGGGAATTAAGTTTCACATACGGCAAGGCAAAAGAAGGAGTTAAATGCAATAATTCCTTCTAGCTGACTCAGTTCAGCCCTTTCCATCTCAAAGCACTTTTGTTGCTCAATCAAAATGTTGCAGCTGGTTGATCTTTTCCTGAGGTATGCATCAGGTTCTGTTTGAGGGCTTTGGTAGTTTTCATGAGTTTCCATAGTGTGGGTGCACCTTGTACAGGAATGAGTCAGTCAGCAAGGACGGTAGATCCTTAAAACAAACAAACAAACAAAAGGTTTAGGAAGCATAAGCCTGGAAACCTTGATCTCAGCTTCTTAGCACCTTAGCTGGGCACTGCAAATGGTGGGAAATGCAGTCTGCCGCCAGGAATTAGAATAACATCATATTATATACTTTGAATGTAGTTCAGGGAGATTGTGGCGTGAGTTTTACAGGTGAAAGAAATATAGGCCAATTTCAAAGTGAACTCAACCCAGTTTCAGGAATCAAAAGATGCTCTGAGTTATTCTTCCTTGACCCAAAATTATTCAGTCTCAGCAGTTAACCGGTGACTTGCAGCTGAGTCTCCTGTCAACGTGTTTGATTCTCCAGAAAATTTAAGCTAAATTTCAAGGCATGTCTCCAAAGCAGTGAAATTCATTGACCTAGAATTTATTATTGTAACAGGCCCAAGAATTTTCTTATGCATATTAGTCCTAGCATATCTTCAGCAATGATTTGGCTGGGGGAAAAATGTTGCTACTCATAGTTGCTACTCAATATATCTGAAAATACCTGTACTTCTACTGGAGCAGAGGAAGCAACATCTTCTGTGCTTACTCAGGAAGTCAGAGGCCAGTAACTTCAGCCTTATGTCATCATTAGTACACAGTCATTAGGGAAATTGTATCTCCAGCTGTTTAGTCTTGTAAAGCTTTATGTGTTACAGATCTCCTGTGTAATCCTTTACTGTAGTTCACTGTCTACGTTTACTTCATGTTACTCCTAACTTCTCTTTGGTCCTATTTTGTAGAGTCAACATGCTAAAAAAAAAAAAAATAAATAAAATTTCTTACACAGAGCTGAATAGAAATAATGCATCAGAGTTTATGTGTCCAGGTTTTTGCTAATGGAAAGAGGAGCAAAGTGTTATACAGGATTTATTCACCTTCATAGGTGTGTTCCTAATTTGCTGTGGAGACTCTCAGAGCATGCTGGAGTTAAGCTCTGAAAACCATAGAAGAGGGTAGGTACAGAGCTCCTTGCATTGTGCTCATGCTTACAGAACTGATCCTAAATTTGCATCAATAATGTAAATATTGTTTATACAAAGGAAATAAAGCAGCTTAAAATCAAAGCAAAAATGGATGATGAATGAAACAAAAATAGATAGTTTGCTTTTATTCTGAGCTGGGGAGTGATATGGTGTAAAACCCAAGAGGAATAATTTTCTCTGCTTTGATTTTTTTCTGTTTGTTTTTGTTACTAGAAACATAAAAGTTTCAGTTGTTGATAAAAAAAAAAAAAAGAAGATAGCATCAGATATTGAGTTTCCTCCTCTTCCTAACCCTACACCAAAATCACAGCTTCTAATTTTTCTTTTTTTTTTTTTAATTAGAACAAATATTTTTAAATGGTATTTTGTTTTCTGATAGCTTCTTTTAAAATTAAAAAAAATGAGAAGGAAAACTTTAATCCCTTTGAAAATTGTTTTTAGATGCAGGAAGAAGGAAAAAATATCCCTATGCACTGGCCTTTTAAGTAGCTGAAAGTATTGTGTTTTCCAATTTAAATTAAGCTCATCTCCTGTCAGTCATGTTCACATTATATGAAAAATCCCCTACAGAAGTGTACAACTTTTACATGATTTTTGATTTTTAGTCGTATAAAAAAGCTAGATGAAAACCTCATTTTTAATTGGAGGGGGGTTTATTGCCAATGTTAGGAATTTTAGCAGAATTGACAGTTGTAAGGTAAGAAAATAAATGAGAAGAATGCAAACAGCAAAAATTGGTGAGAACAATAGTAGAGAAAGGATGGAGAGTTTTAAGTTTTGTTTCAAGGTGGGGACCAAAATATCCATAATATTAGAGGTCCATGGCCTGTAATGACCATGTAATGAAATGCGGTGCAGAGATTTCAGAGCAAGCAGAAATCTGTGGCAGTAGAACCACAGTCTGCAGATGCGTCAGCCCAGGACATTGTACAGCCTAGGCATACCTATTCTACCTCATGATCCAAGATGAATTAAGATGAGCAAATCTCTGCTTTAAATTTCCCTGTTCTTACAGCAGATACTGTCACTGAAACATGTCTCAGTGTATCTGTTCTAGTAAGCTCTTCCCACTTTCCTAGACCCCTATTTTTCAGAAACTGTCCATTCTAAGTAACCTGGATTTAGCTGCCTGTCTTTGCAGATGGCTTTGAATTTGTTGCCTCTCTATCATCTGCACTACACAGCTCTAGAATAAATCAAGACCTAATCCAACTCCCATTGGAGTCAACAGCTAAGAGCCACTTTCTTCACAGAAATGTTGCTCTCACTAAAGTTCAAATTGAAATCCTTCTGTGATTCTGGTGGCTCAGGGTAAAAATCCAAAGTGCCCAGTTATGCTGATGGAGGTGTGCCCCTGATGGTATCTTGCTGGGTTTCATGTTAAAGCAGAGATGGTGTTACAGCTTCTAAATCATGTAGTGGAAATTTCATTTCTCTCTGGGTGCCCTTGAAGTCATAAATACTTCATCATCAACTTTGAATCATTATTTTAATCACTTCAGAAGATCAGGGAGCTAAGATTGTAATTATTCCCTATTTGGGAAATTGACTGAAGTCAATTTATTTTGCTACTGTACTAGAGAATATGTTTCACCAAATTTTCTTCTCCTTTCCCTGCTTGTACCTATGCACCAATTGAACACTTCAAGTCTGATCAAATATTGTGATTTATTAATAATTAATATAGCTCTTTATTTTCGAGTCCACAGTTTAAAATCCATATCTGATTTAATATCTGAATCTGGATGAAAATATTTGATATTTATCTGATAGATACAGTTTGGAGCGCCAAAAAAATTGATGGCCCTTCAGAAATACATTTCTGTTTCTCAACTTCCTGAAGTCAAAAAAACATTCAAACAAAGTGAAAACAAGATACATGAATGAACTGTTAGCATTGCTCATCTAGTTATTGGTCTTCCGCTTCTCATGCGTATATATAGACACCATTAAATATGACAGATTGGTCCTCTCAAGAAGCAGACTGATGTTCCATGAACCCTGCATACATATTTTCTACACCATCAGTTGTCCTCTAGTGCTCTTTCAATATCATTTTCTTTTCACTGAAGATACAACAGGAGGCACATTCTTAATGCATATAGGGCTAGTGTAAGTAGTTATGCTTCACTAGACTCACTACCCCTGCCTTTCACCACCCGCTACACCTGCCAGCAGAGTAAGCCTGTCTTTGCTCACTGCAATCAACTTCAGACAGAATAAGGGTATGTTTACCTTAGAGAGTTTCAAGAGAAGGTATTGCTGATGGAGCTGCTCGTAGACAAATTGTCATGAACATGACTTACTTGAGCAGTTCCTACCATCAGGGCCTGAAAATGTAGCATGGAGCAAGAAGGAAAGGAAGAAAAACTTGATGTTGGCTTTCTTTTTCAATGGCAAAGCTGAATATGGAAGACATGTATCCTTAGTCTCATATTTGCTGATGGAAGAAGCTATCAAAGATGCCTTTGGCTCTCCTTTAACTAGAAGTTCTTTTCTTAAACAAAAATGAGGTTTTTGCATCTACATTTCAATTAAAACAAAACCAAAAAAGCAAGTAAAACCAGACATAGAGTGAATGTGAGATTGAACTTCAGAGAGTATTTTTTTAGTTGGCTTTTAACCCTCTAGGCTAGCTACAATTTGGCATGTGGAGTAAATAATAAAAACAATAGAAATCTGCAAATGCAAACTATTATACATAAAGATAGCTTGAGCTTCCTTGTTCAAGCATGTTCATGGGACATTTTTTGGGTAACTCTCCCTTGAAATTCACCCAAGTGCCTCACTCTGACCCTTCAGGTAGTTCTGGGGTTTCTCTTTTCTTATCCAATGTGCCAAAACCTCATCGCTTTTACATATATTTAATTTAAACTGGTGTAAACTCTTTGACTTCCAGGAAACATATGGGTGCAAATGAAAGGACATTCAGACCTCAAGACCTTTATTCTTCATTCAGTTGCCTTCACAATTATTCTCAGAGCCTGACAACACCCATCTGCTCCAACCGTGCACAAAAAGCCTCCACATAGGGTTATAGAAACCTTCTGTTCATTGATTTACACTTTCTCACTCTCTCTTCTACTTCTGGAGCCCAGTTTGAATTCCTCCTCATGGAGCATACACAGCAGTTATCTCTCCTGCTGTATTTATAAACTGTTGACTGACATGTGAGCTTTTATTCTTGCCACAGCTTTCCTCCTGATGACACATTACCCAACCTCCCTGTTTAGACCTC